ATGATTAGATGACGCATATTATTTGTAATTTTTTTCTCTGGAAAACGAGTGGGTGCCTCCTCATTTGCTAATAACGGTAGGTTTCACTGTAGAGCAATGAGACGACGATGTCACGGACGTTACTTATCAAGTCCTTGTCACTTGACACGCTCCGCCGAACACGATGCTTAGATCGCGTTAATTATCTATACGCGTGTTTGTCATGTCCGCACCTTATATATTGCTATCCATATAGGGCGAATTTTTATTTAGTGATTTTTAAATCAATTCACTGTATGGCGTAAACATTTATATTTAGATCTCTTGACATTCGCGATAACACCATTAAATCGCATACATTTATTATCTACTGCATTTTCCATGAGATCTTTAAATTTTTCCTTGTGGTTTAACGCACTCTATTCCTGACTTAATAATTTAATCGTACTAAAGCTCTCTACGATTTAAATTATAATCGAGTCTCGTCATCTCATCCACTTCTATTCCTTATATGTCATAATGGATATGAATGTTGAAAATCCGCGGAATTCATGTGAAAATTCGATGAATCTGCGCAATGATAATTTTAATACTTCCGAGAATTGTAGCAAGCTACTCTCTTATCAAACAGAATTGAGATTTAATCAGAATTGTGCATCGATATTAATTATTCTATATATCTAACTGATATATCACTTTGTCTGATCAATTAATTATTACTATGAGAAGTGGTTTCCTACTAAAACGGTCACTGAAAAAAAGAAAAATACTAAACAAGTATATAGCTTTAAATACTTTTTATTGTCAAAAAAATTAAGAATACATAAAAAGAAATTTAAATAAGCAGCTTGCTGTTTTCTAAATATAAAGAATCAGTTGATTGATTTTTGAAAAGAATATATTAAAAGTTGAACGATGTTAGTTTAACAAGACTAAAAAGGAACTGGAACCTGCGAAGTTCACACTCTCTTTTTGCGGGAACCTATTTGTACGACGTGATCTCGATTTCAGAGTACCCTTCATATGCGATTCACTGGACGATCATGTCTCGATCGATATGGCGCATTCTTGCTTGTTCGTATTGCAGAGAAAGACACGTCTCGTTGAGCGACAAATTGAGCTTACACGCGTCAAGATTCAAGACGTGATCTCTTGGGTATTATGCATTCAACACTTTTTCGCGAATACCATGCCCTGGGCGTTTTCTTCAACATGACATTCCGCAGCGAGAAATTAAAAGCTGTCTCGATAGAGATACTACCAAACGGAGTTCGTTCGGCGGATTTACTGTGGTGATTATCCCAATTAACCGCGTACGCTCTTTTAGCCTCGGCTTGAACTACGAGCTCAACTGCCACCTGCGGACCAGTTCCCGTGGCGCGGTTTTTGAGCCATACTACATTCAAGTAAGACGTTAAGTGCATCCCGTACGTTTCCGGAGAACATTATGGCCGTCTCGCAAATTCCCATTAGCGGACTTCGTTCTTCCCCTCATCAGCTCTGACTCGTCGCTCCGGCATTAAGCATCAAGCAGGTTTTTCTCCCAGTCAGCCGCTGCACTGCTCTGATGAATTCGGCAGATTCCAACTTGGACTCTTCATCGTTGACCACTATCGTCAGTATTACTCTCGCTGTTTTGTTTCTATTGAAAAAAAACATTTCTTCGCATAATGGCGTGAATCTACAATTTATTTGAAAGATGAAGTTTTTCACTTAAAACTTGTGTTAAATACAATTTGTTATACTATTCGAAGATAACATTACATTATTTTGTTTTTTATTCATTTGTAAGTCGAATGTCAATTATGTATAGTTTATTCTCGATGAGTACAATATATTTCAGTGAAATGTTAAGTACATTTTTACGAAACAAATTTGTTTACAAATATGCATTAGGATTTGTTTTGACTAACCTTCATCGGTGTCATTCTTTTGGACGGTGTTAAATGTTGGTCGGCTTTTTCTCTCGATCGCTCGCCACGCTGTCGAATTCAGCAGATTCCAAGCTCTGTCTTTTAGCCATTGTCACCGTCCATATTAGCGCAGAGTCAGCGCGGCAGAGGCCGAAGAGATTAATTAGGGACGATATTTTAGCAGCAAAAATGGCGAGGAGGGGGAGGGGAGGCGAGACAAGAAACGGCAGCATCAACAGCCGTCTTAAGTCGCGCTAACTAATCTGGCAACGCCACGAGACGATCGACTGGACCTCATCGTCCCTTCTCCATAAGAACGTGCTACAAATTAAGCCCGGATCGGTAGAAACTATCTCGAAAATTTAGCAGCCGATTGCTACTCCATTATTTGTATGTTTGTGAACAGGTCTGGATAATAAGTTTATATAGCCCGATTTCAGTTATTTTCACTAGATAATTAAAGAGAATGTCATTCTATATTATAAACAAATGAATTTATCTTTAAATGAATTGGGTTTCTGACTTTTTTTTTACGATATTTATATCCGTTTAATTTATTTAATTTATCTATATAATTTAATTTTTTTAAATCATGGTTTATGTTGAAACAAATTGAAACAAGTATAATATAATATAATTACGCGTGGACAATAGTCTCGTAAAAAAAAAATAGTAACATATTAATATTTTAATTAAGAGACAAAAATATTATATTTTACTTAAAATCGCTATCTCAATTTAATTTATTTAACATGTATGAAAAGCACCAGGTCATTGTCTTTATCATTGAGAATATTTGGATCGTACAAAGAATGATATCGATAAATCGGCTTTGCGTCACAAATCTCTTCTTTGATAATGGTAACAACGATCGTAATTAGACTTATGGTGGCTGTTGTCATCGCATCATTTACTATATATTTCGTTGATAATATTTTATATACGCAGCCAATTCTTATCATTTCCAAGCGTAATATCGGTGTCACAAATTCTTGTAATCGTTAATTTATTTCTCCGTTTATACTACATCTAATGTCGTTGCTTCTATTTTCACGACAAACGAATTATTGGCATCCTCACGAGAGAGCTGCAAGAATAACCGTTGTATAATCTGCGTGCTCCGTCTGTTGAAGCTTGCTATAATTTAAAGTTTGAACGAAGTTATTTTCCTTCCTAGACAGAAAACGCTGTGTACTAGACAGTGTTGCTGTACTAGATTAGTAAAGAATTAATTAGTCTTGCAGTTCTGCAAGCTTGTCATTATTTAAATGTAGGTAAAACGATTTTTTTTTTTTTTTTTTTAGAAGACATGTCGACATAATTATCAGCATGAATAATCGATTTTTCGATTTTTTAAATTGATCCAATATCGCTCTTTCTCGACGATATACGATAATAAAAAAAAATAATATAAAAATAAACAAAATACACGACTTTGAATTAAGGCATATTGTCGAATATATATTATGCCACTTGATACAAGATTCCGGCACGCCTGCTATCCATTTAGCGATAACTGCTAAAGCAATTTTTCTTTCTTCGGTCGATCGGCAATAAGAGAAACAACGGGTCTTCCTATCTGTAGGAAGTGTTCAGCGTGGCTTTTATCGATCGAAGCAATGTCGATCGGCTGCTAAGGCGCTAATGGGTTAGTCGGCCTGGACACGAACTCGCTGCGTCGCTAGAAGTGTGCAATCGGCCGTAGAAGAGAGGATAGAACGTACGAAAAATGCCCATGCTTTACCTACACTTATCTGCGTGCTATTGCATATTGCATGTATATACACGTGCTACGGCATACTCGAGAAGTGTCGGTTATCTTAGCGGAGACACACAGTCGCGCCTAAAGGATAATAAATAAAGATAGACGAAGACATATACGGGTGTATAGATGCAAGGAGTTTGTGGCTGTATCTTTTGCCCACGCGGAGATTATCTCAAGGAGTTATAAGTGACCGGGCTTTCAGTTTAAATAAAGCTGAGCGCTACGTCGAGCTCTATATCGATGCCATTCTTGATTTTCATACGCGTTTAAAACTTGTTTCGACGCCACGTTCTCTCTTTCTCTCTCTCTCTCTCTCTCGTGTTGTCTCTCCCACGAAATATCTGTCCTTCTTGGCTAGCTCTCAAGTCGACCAAGAGCAACTCTTTGGAACGCTGCCGCTCCTGAACGATATTTCGAATTATACAACAAGCGATTAGTATAAGGAACGGATATTAGGCAGCGGCACGAAGCGTGCTTATTTGTTTCGCAAGGTTTCATTCAGTCGCTCGATTGTTTCGAGCGCCGGCTCCGGTTTGGTTATGATTTATCGTGACGGTTGCCGCGTGCTTACGTGACTCGCATGCTTACAATAAGGCAATTAGACTCCGATTCTTTATTTAATAGAAACGATACGAATTGTACGCGCTGGATAAAGAAGTGGGTGTTTCTCGTTTGCGTCGCAATACGACCGACCTGGGAGGAGTCGGTATTTTTCAGCGTTCATCGAATAAAGTGCATCCGCGGTAGTTTCGACTTTCATCTCTTCTTGCATGAAATCACGACCAAGAAGAATGCCATTCACGCTCTTAATCCCCTTTTGCACGGAAAGCGACTTTTTTTTTCCTCTGAAATGCTCTTTAGCACTGTAGGGCAATTAACGCGGAATTAGCCGTGTGTTCGCGTGGTCTTCTTATTGCACGTTATACATAAAGTCATTTGGTGCGGCTCTTACCGAAGACTCGGAACTATGTATATACCGTGAACTTCAGCGGAACATGACGAAGCGTAAGTATTGATGTAATAACCGTGCGTAATTACATCAATATCTTGCAAGTGAAATATTTAATACGATGTAGAAATAAAAATGCGTATATTTTTAGCTACTTTCAAATTTATTTTATTTTAGTTCCTTTTTAAATCAAAGATTGGAAATAATTGCATCAATCCGTACAGGCTTATACAAAATGAATCAAACATTGGATGTTAAATTTATGTATTGCTTTTAATAGTGATACAAACAATGCACATTTCTCTAACGCGTAATTTTAACTAAAATTATACATATGTATATACCTGTTTGAACTGACCTGTACTAAAAATAAATATTTCTATTTTTGTTTCAGATGCAATGGGTAAGTGACTCAGTCTTTAGTCAAATCAACATTATAGGTAAGCGGAATAGAATTGGAAATAGATGAACTCCTCTTTTTTGAGCAATGCAGAAATTTCTCCCTCATATAGCTGCTTGCGAATTAATTATCATAATTAATAAAGCAATTTGTTAGATTAGCAATTCTTACTCGAGAAAAACCTAAATCGTTCTCATTTGAAATACTTGTCTATTGCCGTAATCGCTCAGTTTGCTCATAATATTAATGTTTACGTATATGTCGTGAAATTACTGACGGTGACACGAAACATAATTGCATGCACATGTAAACATGTATGATACGGTCATGAATATAATTAAAAATGGTTAATACAAAATTTCAGAATGTTAAGAGTCAAAATTAAAATTAAGCGACGCACATAAAATCCATAAATGTAAAAAAATTTGTTTTCCAAATTTACGTGATTTAACTGCTTTTATTTCGTCATCTGCTATATTTGGCGAAATAAATTAAGCGCGATTAAATTCGGACACATCGCGAGCATAATATTTATAGCCTGCACAAAAAAAACATTTTAAGCTAGCAGACAGTAAGAAAGAGAGATAAAATGGTGATTACTTGTTCTCTCTCTCTCTCTCTCTCTCTCAATTTGATAATAATTCTCTTAATGCATCTTGTCGGTTGTCGGCGACACGGTCTAAACGAGGATCTGTGAAACGATCTTGCGTTACCGATCTGTTACGAGCGCAATGACCACTCTTTTACATTTCTTTTTAATGCCCTCTTATGCGTGCGGCGTGCGCCGCAATAACGAGGCGCTTCGACTTAATTAGATTAATTAGATTGCAAGCGAGGCGGATCGCGTGGATGGCGCTCGACGAGATCGAGCTTGCTGAAGATCTGTCGTTAACCGTATTAACGTCGCTAAACGATCTCTTTTTCTACGTGATATTTTATTTTAACAAAATTGCTCATTTTACTTAAAACTTTTTAATTGTTTAATGCAAGAAACATATACAATTAATTTGGAATTGATTAAACTTTTAAAAATGTCAATTTACATCTTTTCTCTAATGATTGAACGTTAAATTAATTATACTGCACATGTTACGTGTATTTTATATTCATTGTACATTATATTCACTGAGGTTTGAAACAGTATTTAATTTATAGATGGTAAAACGTGATGATTTAAAAATGATAATTCATGTATAAATACTAATACTTTATGTTGTTTTTGTTAGTAAATCAACATGGCAATTAGTAATATCGAATAATAGAAAACGTAGGTTAAACGACGTATGGATAATAACAATCTTGAACGAATTGCTCTCATCTTTCTTCAGGTAATCTTTAACAACTCATGCAACTATCATTAATCCTTTAGCTAAGTACAAAAACTCGTATAATCAATCTCTGTGAAATAGTAGATATCGTTACAATCATCTTATTAGTACTTTAGTGCCATCCAATCAAATCGAATTACGTCAACAGTATGTAATTTAGTCTCACCCCCCGATTAATCGCTAAAATTACTTATAAAATTTATAATGGCGTTGGCGAAATATAAACACCGTTATCATTTAAATTAAATGCAACCATATTATTAAAAGAGTAAAAACATATATTCGATTTCGAAAACGTATAAACAATTTTGAATATTTATTACGTATCTGAATAAATATTATTTATTTTTTAACAATATTATTAACTATAATAATTTAAGTGAAATTTGATAAATTATTATTTGATGAAATGTATGCTGAAAAGAAAGCTTAAAAGTTTCATCGTATAAAAGAGTATGCTCTTTTTTTTTGAGCGGTGATCCATTCGCCAACCAGCCGATGATTATGATCGTGCAGGACGAACCTATGAAATGAACTATCGAGAAGCGTGACTGAGGAAAAAATATAACTGTAGAGAAAGAAAGACATTGGAAGATAGAACGCGCGAGAAAAGTCTAAAGTAAAATATTAACTTGCGCAATTTGAATCGTTACATATATAATATTTAGCATGCTTGCTTATTGCGCTTTTCGCCCTGAAGTTCACAAAACGAATCTTTCGACAGAATTCCGTGATAAGAGGTATTCGCGAAATGCTCGCTACATTAGGCATCATTGCAACGTTTAAAGTGTAATTATCAGTCGTGACTTGAAGTATTCATTAACGCTTACGGCAAGAAGCTTCTTATGGATACATGATGGCTAGATAGATCGTTGAAGTGCATTAGTCGTTCGGCTACGAACGGTACTTGAATGATATATCGTGCATAGATATCAGAAATCATCAGGATAGCATCAATTCATGATTTCCGTTGCGGTATGAGATTCACGTATAATTTAATACTTTGTAATAATGTAGATAGTCGAAAGAAAAATGTTGATATGAAAAAACTGGAAGATGATTATTAACTCGTTTGCGGATGTTTTCGCACTTCTTTATGGCTAACGATATCAGGACTAATTGCTTCAGAATTCTGACAGGAATAAGAGCACTCCTCATTAAGCATATGTATATATTTTGCATTATATGATGTTAGATAAGTGAACATAAGGGGAAATTGAAGGAGGAGTATACTAATTTAATACATACGCGACGCGTTCGACGATTCGCATGAAATTAATTTCGTGCCAACGCATCGTGTCCGAGAGAAATTAATTTTGTACTGTCCATCCTTATAAAAATATGATTATGAACGGCGTGTATTACAAGCAGCTTAAATTGAGCGCGGCGGTAAATCAAGTATGGATGGGCAGTTAATTAAAAAATTCGGTAGTAGCCGTGAAAGGTTGGAATTAAATTTAGGGGCAAGATACGATTAACGACGCGTGTTTATACTTATTGGATACTAAGGTCGATTGAATCTGACGTAACAGTGGCAATTTTGGGGAAGGTCTGATGATAAGATAAAATGACTTGTTTGTAGATGTTGTCTCTTTGATCTCTTTATATCGTTTGTATTTCATGCGATTGTATGTTTTCCAGCGTTTTTTTTCATAAACGAGCATTAATTATTTTCTCTCTTTTTTTTCACAATTATTATCTTAGTATGTATTTCTTCTTCCCACCACGAATGTTTTACCGTAACACGTATTAATAAAATAAATATGGTTTCGTGAGAGATCGTCGATATAATATGTGTTGGTCGCTGTTTAAATTAATTCAATATAACTGAATTCGTAACGACCAGCGTGTTGTCAGAACGCCCGCATCCTTGTGTCCATTTCCTGTGATAACGCGTATACTTATGCGTATATAAACGGACGCATCAGAGACACCGTTGCCTTCGCAAAACTGGCGAGATGGATAAGATAAGAAACCCTTACTGTTTCAATTATTGACCGTTCTCGATTGCTCCGAAGACTCTTTGGCACCTCATTTCGTGATGCAGAAGTCTCCTCAGTTGCCATTGTACGATTCCGAACGGAGTCGTAATGGCACGTTTGTCAGGTCGTCCGACAATTAGAATGCAAATCTGCGATGCTCGCATATGCATATGCACAAGCTGGTCCCATAGCCATTCGTGGCCCGTGTGCGGCTCTATCCGCCGGATCTCGGCCCACCAAGATTCATTCGTTCCGAGCACTTTTCAGCGCGATCCGTCGATCGGGCCCCAATTTTATCACGTCTTCGGCCCCGAAATTTGACGCCTTTTATGACGGTCCGTTATACCGCGAATAAGAATAAGAACCCGAAGACGACACACGATAGCGCCAGGAATCCATTCAGACGATCGACGATATATATTCGAACGAATATCATTTGATTGGTCTCGTGGCGCTGATTAAAATTAAATAATACTTTTGAAAGTTTTACAAGTTTGCCATAAGCCATTCGGTGGCTCTTGTTTTTTCTTCTCTCGTTCGCGGGAATAGATAATACAAAATGCATCATGGCATGGACCGAATATTGCCAATGACTCTTTAAATATGCGTAATAAATAAATGCGTAATATTCGCAAAGATTTGCACGCGTGACGATAAAAGTTTCACATTGTTACGGCGAGTTGTTCCAATTCGGTTTCAACTTTTTCAATGACGATGGTGGCTTAGGTACAAAACTGTAAGTACCTGCGCGTATTCGGAGATAGAATTTCTTACGACCAGAACATACGACATTTACGCGGTATTAAAGTCAGTTTTACACCATCTCGGAATGGCTACGAGCCGGTTAACGTCGATCGCGGTTATGCACTAGGATTTCCTTTACATACATATTGCGCTCGATCCCCCGGAATTTACTTTTAACAGCGGTCTTCTTAGACTTTTCCAAGCGAAGCTTCTCGAATTCTCGATACGTGCTTCTCTCTTATTTAACGGCGAGAATAGATTTTTTCGCAGTTTGTGCCGAGGCGGCATTTTCCTTCCATCTTGGTGAGCTCGTTGCACATCGGTTTCACATTTTCGTGGCGTGTCTCTCCGAAGTCAGACGATTCTGTAACGTCGCACGGTCTGCGGTCGCCCGACAAATAGATTACGTGCTCGCGAAGGGTATTCTTCGTAGGGTGCCTAACCGCCCTTCTTCGCCCTTTTACACATGCTACTCACGTACTCACGTACTCACGACGCGTTCCGGATACGTCGTATTCGCCAGAGTTGTCGCCCGACGCGTTCTTCTCTATTCCGTCCTCTCACTTCGGAGCGCCTCTCCAAAAATTGCAACGCGTTAGCACGAAATCCACTAACCATTCCATTATTAAATCTGTGTCCGCATTACATGGATATAGGGGCGTCGCGGCGTCACCGGCATTAAAATTCACATCATGCCGGAACCGTCAAAACGATGAGACACGAGCTTCTCTCGTCGATATGCCGGAACGGATTACACATAATGACTTTATCTGCGTCATGCAATTAAGCCGTGACCGCATCGTTCGTCGATAATGTATTCTTGATAAAGAAATTATTTTTTTAATTTATTCATATGCTTCTCCTGACATCGGGATTGCGCGCGTTTTTATCGCGACGAATATTGTACGTGATTCTTCAATTATTCTTTTCTTATAACTACTCACGCACG